ACCCAGAAAGCCAGGTGGAAGGAGGACTGTGTAAACATAATATGGGGATTCTGGAGATCAGATTTCATTCCTCTCTCTAGGTTTTGTTACTGCTGCTGTGGTAGCTGTGTTTATTTTTTTAATAATATTTTTTTAGTTATATATGGACACAATATCTTTATTTTGTTTATTTATTTTTATGTGATGCTGAGGATAGAACCCAGAGCCTCACATGTGCAAGGCAAGCACTCTACTACTGAACCACAACCCCAGCCTAGTAGCTGTGTTTATTTAGTGATCTTTCTGAACTAATTTTCTCAAGCCTGAGTTGTCATGTGTGACTACTAAAGTCTCTCCTTAGTGTTCATCTAATCATTGGACAGAGAGTTCCTTAAACACCTGGAAACAATGAATTTCCCTTTCCTTCCTAAGTGGCTTTGTGATATAGCATGACTCCAGCACTCAGCAGACAGCATGTTACTCTGCCTGAGCATTTACTTTCCTCTACAAGGAGCCCCAATGTCAGCCAGATGTGAGATCTCAAGGCTTTTCAGGTTTTTCCTCAGACCCCAGTCCTACTTATGTGACCTATATTCCTGGAAGTATGTTGGATTTTCTAAGCCCCTGTGAACATATCTGTACCCTTGCTTTTTCCTGTTAAGTTTTTTGTTTAATCTATAATCTATTGTGAACTCCAGCTGTTATCCATCACCTTGGGTAATTGCAAAGTTACATTTGTCCACTAACAACCCCAGGAAGCTGTTTGTGCTGGGTTGGTGCTCAGTCAGCCTTGTAAGTGGGGCCTTCCAGAAATCCATCAGACAAGTAAAATAATGACAGTTGTCTGAGAATGGGGCATTCTGTTCCCTCCAGTAACAGGGATGTGAGGTCTTAGTTCCAACGTTGCCACTGTGAGCACAGCTGGACCAGGAAAACTACCAAGGTAACTTTTTGCTGCTGGTCACCTATTTTCTTGAATACACACTCTCTGGGATGCTGGGGGTAGGGGAGCCTTTGGTTAATTTCTAGAATTCTGAAAAAGCTGATTCAGACAGCTTATGCTAGTTTTTTGCCTTGCTTTTATACGGGGAGAAGGACAACTTCAGTTGACGATTGTTTCCCGAGGGACCCTTGGTTGTTCTGCTGGTAACTCCTGCACTTGTTCGGCCACAGTAGCAGAACAAGTACAGGAGCAGCCAAGTGCGCGCGCGTGGGCGTTGACCCCAGGCCTCTGCCTCGCGCTGCGCCCGCCGCTTCCAGGCGGGGGCCAGCCTGAGGCCCGCGCTGAGCTGCCTTGGCAAGCTCGGTCCTGTCTCCGTAGGTTTGTCCAGCACAGCGGGAAAGGCAGGGTCCCCACCGCCGTCGTGCGCGACGGGAGTACTCTTAAGCCCGCCGGCGTCTCCTGGTCCACAAGCTATGGCCGCGGAAGGGGGCGGGGTCCCAGTGGAAATCCGGCGTGGTGTTGACAATGGGAGACCCCACGGTCCGCCCAACCCCCGGTTTCCACGGCAACCAGAGGACCGCCAGGAGGTGGAGCCCAGCCCCTGACGGACAGCTCTTGGCCCCGCCCCGGCCCCGCTCTCGCGCGGTTTGAGCTCGCGTGGCGCCGCAGGGGCCGACGGGAGCGTCAGCCGCGCTGAAGGGGGCCGACATGGCGGCGGCGGCGGCGGCGGCTTCGCTTCGCGGGGCGGTGATGGGCCCTCGGGGCGCGGGCCTCCCGGGCGCACATGCCCGGAGGCTGCTGGGCGGCGCACGGCCTGGGCAGCTCCCCCTGCGGACGCCTCAGGTGAGCGCTGGCCCGGGTCCTGGCCCTCGCGCGCCCCGCAGCCGGTGAAGGTCACGGCGGGGAGGCTTCGGGCGCGCGCGGCCAGCGGGGCGAGATGGGCCCGCACGCAACGTCCCCCTGGGGCCAGGTCCTTGCTGCCGGTCGGCACAGCCCGGGAGCTTTGCGCACGCTTCGGAGCGGCAGGGCGCCTCGGACCTGGCACGGGGGTGGCGGGCGGGCTCGCGAGGGTCGGGGCAGGGGTCTTCGTGCTCAGGGCGTGCCTGGAACGGCTCCCGCCGCACGCTGTCCAGACTGGGCCCGCTTCCTGAAGTAACCTCTAGCCTGACCTCGGCAGCTGCCGGTGACCTTGGTCACTACGGCCTGACTCCCGGCTCAGGATCCAAGAGCACTCCTCACCACCTCCTCAGAGTCAAATCCCGGCCCAGGGGTCGGCAGCGGAGAGGGATGCGGTGGGCAGCGCGCAGGCCATGATGCTGGTGCGCCAGTACTGGGTGGATGAGTGGGAGAGGTGGGCGCCTAGTCAGATCCCCAGCCCGGCGGGTGGTGTCCTGGCAGGCGCTGAGCGGGGCTCTTGCAGGCAGTATCCTTGTCCTCGAAGTCTGGCCTTTCCCGCGGGCGGAAGGTGATGCTGTCAGCGCTGGGCATGCTGGCGGCGGGTAGTGCAGGGCTGGCAGTGGCTCTGCATTCTGCTGTGAATGCCAGTGACCTGGAGCTGCACCCCCCCAGCTATCCGTGGTCTCACCGTGGCCTCCTCTCTTCCTTGGACCACACCAGGTGCGCAGCTGGCCGGCTTGCTGGCCTGGGGTTTCTGGGTGGAGTGGAATCTTCAGTTCCCTTAAAACTTTTTCTCTTTTTAGCATCCGGAGGGGTTTCCAGGTATATAAGCAGGTGTGCTCTTCCTGCCACAGCATGGACTACGTGGCTTACCGCCACCTGGTGGGCGTGTGCTACACCGAGGATGAAGCTAAGGCCCTAGCTGAAGAGGTGTGGAACCCTGGAGACAGAGTGTTCGGGGTTGGGGCTCCCACTGTGATGTGATGGCAGGATTGTAATGAGGCTCTTGGTGGCAGGTGGAGGTCCAGGATGGCCCCAATGAGGATGGAGAGATGTTCATGCGGCCAGGGAAGCTGTCTGACTACTTCCCCAAACCGTACTCCAACCCTGAGGCTGCCAGGGCTGCCAATAATGGAGCCTTGCCCCCTGACCTCAGTTATATAGTTCGAGCTAGGTAAAGGGGCTGCCCACAGGGTGGAACTGGAGAGGGGAACTGACTTCTGTCAGGGACTAAGAAGCCATGAATCTGGTTCCAGGCATGGTGGTGAGGACTATGTCTTCTCCTTGCTCACGGGGTACTGTGAGCCACCCACTGGCGTGTCTCTACGAGAAGGCCTCTATTTCAACCCCTACTTCCCTGGCCAGGCCATCGGCATGGCCCCTCCCATCTACACCGATGTCTTGGAGTTTGATGATGGTGAGAGTCCTTCACCATGAATCCTTTCCCATCCCCCAGGGATGCTTGCCTTATATTTCTGGGCCTGAGAGATCCTGCCCCTTTCTTGGCTGGGGTGTTTTGTGCATGCATGAGGAGATTTTCACAGTCTTGTGGGGTCCTGTCCCTTTGAAACCTTGGGTAGAGGTCAGTCTCTACCTCCATGGAACAGAGTGCACTGAGGGTTACCCCAGGTTGGTCATGAGCCCCAAAAGGTAATTTTCATTATGTGTCCTTGGCCCAGGTACTCCAGCTACCATGTCCCAGGTAGCTAAGGATGTGTGTACTTTCCTGCGCTGGGCATCTGAGCCAGAACATGACCATCGCAAACGCATGGGACTCAAGGTGAAGGATTGGGCAAGGGGGCTACAGTGAGTATGGGAGAACAGTTGGGAAGGATCCTTCCTAGCCCCCTTTTCTGAGCCTGTTTTGTCCCCAGATGTTGATGATGATGGGCTTGCTGCTGCCTTTGATCTACGCCATGAAGCGGCATAAGTGGTCAGTCCTGAAGAGTCGAAAGCTGGCATATAGGCCACCCAAGTGACCCTTTCCAGCATCCACTTGCCATCTTGCCTGAACAGACCCTCAAGCCCAGGAGCCATCCTAGGCCTGTTCAGGCCTTACCTGGCCCACTCGGCCCGGCCCCTCTTCCTCTGGGATGAGGGAGGGGGCAGGAGACTGGGCCTTGGCTCCAGATTTCATTTAGCCTCATCATGGGAATAAATTAAGTTTCTCAACATACACATTTGGACTTTTATCTGACAAGAGTGTAGTCTTGCAAAGGACTCTGGGACTAAGACTCATACCCTCAGCGCTCCCAGGAAGTCCCAGTCCTGTCCTCATCTGGGACAGAAAGGGTACTGGCTGTGAGAGGAAGTAGTGGCACTTAGTAGGTTGTCTCCTGAACAGGGATGAAAAAGATTTGGCCAGGTTGGCTATGGCCCAGAATCTCACAGACCTGCTGGGAGGAACTACTGAGTGTCAGGTTGTTGGTTACTTCAAGAGGGTCAGGGAGCCTTTGGCAAGGCCTGGAGTGGCTAGGCCAAGAAGAGGGGGATGACTGCCAGCCATATTGGTAAATCAGTAGACAGGCAGAAGAGGGTACCTGGGACATCCCCTTGCTCTCAGCTGGAACGCTGAGTGTAGCACCCAGGATTTATGTGGAGGTATGAAGGTATTCATCATGGAATGGCACCTGGCAGCCCACAGGAGAGCCGAGTGGGCTCATGTAGTCCTGTACCTGTACCTGTGGCAGGAAGGTCAAGGCATCATGAACCAGCAGTAGCACAATACCCTGACTTGGGACTCCCAGTGCTTGAGCTTCCCTGTCCCTAAGTGGGGAGGGAAAACACCCATGTTGGTGTTATCTTGGCTGGAGGGAGTGGTGGCCAGAGTCTGGGGAGCCAGGATAAACAGCAGAAGGCAAGACCAGCAGTAGGGGTAGAGCTTATAGGATTCGCCTTAGTGCATGGAGCCCCCAGCGACCCTATCCCAGTGATCAGCAGCTAGGAGAACCCCTGAAGGTCTGGGGGGCTTGGGAAGAGGTCTAAGTGCCAAGATCCTGTGATCAGCAGATACCTGGACTGACGAATGAGGGCCAGGTTCTGTCTTGTCTTCTCCCAGCAGCCTTGGATAGGCTGGGGCAGCTCTGCACCAAGACACAGTAAAGGGACACTGGGACTTTTGATTTTTTTAGTTGTAGTTGGACACAATACCTTTATTTTATTTATTTATTTATTTTTATGTTGTGCTGAGGATCAAATCCAGGGCCTCCATGCTAGGTAAGCGTTCTACTGCTGAGCCACAACCCCAGCCCCTTTTGTGTCTAACTTATAGCTCTTCCCTGCAACCGTCTTGTCTGTCCCCAATGAGCAGCCAGCAGAGGTCTCCTGAGATCAGGTGATAGTCCAGGCATTTAGGCCTTCCAGGGAAGGGCCATGTTCTGTAACCAGGGGGGAAGAGACAGATCATTCCTGCTTGTTCTATACTGTGTGCACCCCCCTCCTCCAGTCACCCCACCACCTGTACCTTTGGTGGCTACTGGGTAGACGATGTAGGAAGGGGGTCCCAGGTGCAGGGCCTCTGGGTGCTACACATCTCACAGCCAGGGCGATTTGGGGCATTGATGAAGGTACAGGAAGGACAGGACCAGCCAGGCTAGAGAGGTGGAAGACCGTTGCTGTTTCTTCACTTCTAGTGTGCCTAGCCAACCCCTGCCCACTGCCCACTCATGCCCATTGCCCACCTGAAGGGGGCCGGGGAGGCTGGAACTGGCTGGCTGCAGGGCACGGGACAGCCCCAATGACTGAGGAAAGAACCGTCCTAGTTCCCCTTCCATCTTCTGCAAGCGTTGAGGGCTGCATCCTGTGGCAGAGGACAGGGGCTTAGGACTATCTTGGGCTGCACCCCACCTCCCTCACCTACCCCCATCAAGGACCAACCTGGGGCTTCTTGGGGAGTGGAGAGCAGATAGAGGAAAGCAGGGTCCCCATCTTGCTGGACCCCATAGGAAGCAAGGCTGCGCTCAGGGGCACACAGCCACCTCCCAATGACCCAGCGTTGCACAGCAGGTGGGAAACCGAACTCTGAGAACACCTAGGGTCAGAGCATCAGGGCTGGGGAGTGTCACCCGGGATTACCCACCACCACTACAGGGCTCTCTGGACCCCATGCTCACCTGTTCCCGGAGAGCTGAGATGGTACAGTGAGCGTGGACCTGCAGTGAGATGTGGGCAGAGGATGCCGAGGATGCAGCGGATGTGGCATCTTCAACTGTGACCTGCAGCCTGGGTCAGAATGTGGGTCAGAGGTTGTTTGGGGAACCTGAGAAGATCAGCAGGGCAAGATGAGGATCAGGCCTCACCTGATGGGACCAGGCGGGAAGCAGGCCTCCTGAAGCTGGACACTGAGGGCCACGTGACGCTGGGCCAGGATTGCTGCTATTTGGGCTGCCCCCTTCTCGTCCCCACCTGCAATGGCCTGGGCCAGGAGCCCAGTCAGCTCTTCTAAAGGGAGGACAGCTGTCAAAATCACACCAGCCACTTCCTTCAGACCCCTCTGGCTGTCTGTCCTTACCTTTCTCCATCAAGTCTCCAGGGCTCTGAAGATCCACCTCAGGTTGGGGCACTTTGAGTGTTGGGACCACAGGGGGACTGGGTGAGGAAACAGGACATGTTTCTGGGCCCAGGGCTAGGAGTGGACTGCCACTGCCTAGGAGGGAAAATGTGGAGTGGTTGTTGGCCCCTGCCCAAGCCTCTCTGCCCTGGGGTTTCTAGGACCTTTGTCTTTTTCCTCATCACAGCCCATGTCAGGCCCTACCTCAGCTTACACTTCAAAATAACCCTCCCCCTCCTAGCTTGCCCTTAAAAACCCCTGAGAGGTCCCTGCCCCCCCCCCCTTGCCTGACTTGTTGGAACTGCCCTGGATTCCTGTTGGGGACCTGGAGTCTTTCTGAACTCTTCTGTTGCCTGTCCTGCTGGTGCCCTTCCTCCACACAGCAGAACCACAGCAGGTCCTCAGACAGAGGGGCCTTCCCCCTCCTGCCCAACAGTAGCCTTGTAGTCAGTGATTGCCCTCACTGATCTCCCTTCTCCTGGCTAGCCCTTATGCACAGAACACACTGTCCTTTCAAGGATGACGGTAAAGATACACAGTTGGACATAACTGCTCTCTCCCTTCTTACCTCCCACTTGAGGATAGCTCCCTGCAATGAGTGGGGGGGGGGGGGGGTTCTCAGCCAGTGCTGACACAGCTTCTTTGATGGCCTCAGGCCCTTGACTTCTTGAACTGTTTATCCCACTAAAATAAGTAGAGTCCTCCAAGCACCCAGCCCTGTGCCTGTGTCTTGAGGGTTGCTTGCATATGTTCCCCTCAGGGCTTTTGTATTTGCTGCTAAGACCACAAGGCTCATGCTAGGACCTTCAAATTCTTTTTTTTTTTTCCATTCAAAAAATGTTTATTGTGCATCTAATAATATATATGAGGTACTGGGAATTCAGAGGTGGACAAGATATTCTCAGGCATTTCTGTATAGAACATATATTGTAAAGAAAGAGATAGTATTAAATAGATGATCATACAAATAACTACAATCTCTAGAGCTGGGTATATAGTAACTGTATAAATTAATGTTGATTAATTGACTAATTAATGAACACAGTCCAACCCACTTCTTAGATACTGACTGATCTTCAAATTCTACTCAAGTGTCACCCTTTCAAGGGGCCTTCCTTGCCACCTCTATTTACTCCAGTCCTTTCATTTATTTTGAAATAGGGTCCCACTATTTCAAAATAAATGAAATACTGCTTAGGCTGGCCTTGAACTTGTCATCCTCCTTTGTCAGCCTCCCACATCACTGGGATTATTCTGCACCTGGTCCTGTCACCCTACTTTAAATAATGTTCCCTCCCTCCTAGCTCCAGCACCGACTCTCTCCACTGTCTAATAAGAATTTTCTTACTTCACATGTCTCCCATGTAGAAATGCAGCCTCCAAGAGGGTGGAGGTTTATTCATGTTAAATAAGTGCCCAGTACAGAGCAGGCACTGGGTACACATACTGATGAATGAAAAGTGCTGTCTCCCTTTTCCAAAGCTGACTTGCCAGGGCCTCTTATGAATAACACTGTCTGGTTGTCTTCCTCTATACTATTTGTGGCTTCTCTTTTCTTTCCCTAAGGCAATCTCTGCATGCCAGCCCTCTTCTCTTTAAGGTTCTTTATCAGTGACTTGGTTGACCTATCTAGAGCCCCAGCTCCAGCCAAGATGTTTTAAGAACCCAGAACATCCGGGCTGGGGCTGTAGCTAAGTGGTAGAACACTTGCCCTGCAAGTGTGAGATCCTGGGTTTTATCCTCAGCAACGCATAAAAATAAATAAATAAATATATTGTGTCCATCTACAACTAAAAAAATAATAATAATAAAAAAGAACCCAGAACATCCATGCCCTCTTAAACAGGCCCTGTCTAGGAGCCCTGCACTACCTGGCCCCTGGTTTCAGCTTTTTTTTTTTCTTTTAGTTGTACATGGACAGCATGCCTTTGTTTCTTTATTTTTTAACTTAATCTTTACATATAGGTGGACACAATGTCTTTATTTTACTTTATGTGGTGCTGAGGATGGAATCCAGTGCCTCACGCATGCCAGACAAGTGTCTACCTCTGAGCCACAACCCCAGACCCTATTTGTTTCATTTTTATGTGGTGCTAAGGATCCAACCCAGTGTCTCACACACGCTAGGCAAGCACTCTGCCTCTGAGCTATAGCCCCAGCCCCCAGGTTTCAGTCTTGAACTGTTTTATTTAAATGACCATGAAACTTAGCTAATTCCATCTCCTAAAACTCTCTGGAATCATCCTCTCCTGCCCTTTGCACAAACCCGTCCTACTGCAGAAGTCTCAATCTGAGCCTGTCACTCTGCTAAGTACCACTATTGCTCTTGAACTCACTAGGGTCCTGCAGTCCTACTTGCTCTTCTTTCCACCCTAGTCTATCCAGGCCCCAGCTCTTCAGCCTTTTCTTTCTTTCACTTTCTTCCTCCTGAGCGCCTTTCGAGGCCCCTAGCTTTTCCCATCACTGTCCCCACCCAGTCCTGGGGGGACAGAGCTACTCCATACTTAATTCCAGGGCACTGACCATTCTGTCCCTCTGCGGTGGCACCTCGCAGCAAGGCTGCCCACTGCTGAGCTTCCTGAGTGTTGAGGAAGCGCAGACTGAGAGTTCCGGGCCCTCCTGGTGGAGGCTGCAACTCATGTTGACTGGGGCCGCGGATGGTATAGGAGATTGACTCCAAGGGCCACTCCAGACTGACCTGTGGAGTAGGAGAGTCCAGGATCAGTGGTTTCCCACTTTGAACCACATGCTAATCAAAGAAAGACAAGAAAACATTTGTAGATCACTAGATCACTTACGCGGTCCTAAACCCTTTCCACCTATTATCTTACCAAATCCTCACAACAGTTTGTAAGGTAGGAACCAGCACCATCCCCATTTTACAGACCAGAAGGCAACCAAAGAAAAGTAACGGCTTAAGGGCACGCTGTGGGCTAGCGGAGGCGCCCGGTCTTGGGCTCCAGCCCCGGTCCGCACTCACCGCTCCGGGCCCCGCGCCTCGCAGCTCCAGTCGGAAACGCCCGGGTCTTTCGGGATCCGCGCTCAGCTGCAGCCTCCGCAGCTGCGCCTCTGCGTTGGGCCCGGCGCCCAGCGGTCTCACCGCGGCGTGCACAGCCAGGAGCACTGCGGCTGAGCCCGGGTCTGCGGCCGCCGCCCCGCCCGCCGGCGGCGCCATCTCCTGTCCCGGCGGGTCAAGGTCTTCCGAGCCGACTTCCGTGAGATCGCGCTGCGGAGCGCCTCCGCCGGCCAGAAACTCAAATCGTGAGCCTGGGTTCCGGGGGCGGCAGATCGTCAGGGCCCAGGAGGGATGCAGGGCAGCGCTGCTGCCGAGCCTGATCCGCCTGCCGTGCCGAGGGATGGACACGGCCCGAGGGCCTCCGGACACCTCCGGCCGCGGGCGTCACGTTTGAGCCGGGTCTCGGGGCCAAAGTGTCAGGCTTTTGAAGCGCGGCCTGGGGCGGGCTTTTGGCCTCAAAAGCTCGGGTGAGGGTAGGCTACAGCCTGGCCCGAAACGTTCTTCAGAGACAGGATGGAGAAGGGAGGCAAGTCCGCGGCACTTCCCAGTAGCCCGGGTCAGCGGGCCACCGCCCCGAGTAACCTCAGCCCCGCCACGCCCACACTGCGCGCTCCGCGGGCCCGCGCCGCTCAAGGAACCAGGGCGGACCCCTGGGGCGGGGCAGGCGGGCTCCTGACCAATGAGCGCCGGGGAGGAGGTGGGTTAGTAAGAGGGACAGTGACAGACAGGCCCCACGGCCAGCAGGAGTGGAAATCAGGACTGAGCGGCAGGGACCGCCCCCAATGGCTAGTTGCGCTCCCGATCTCCGAAGCTGGAGCGGGCCACTCAGAGGCGGGGGGCCGGGCCTGGCGGACGCTTGTTGTTGTCCGGAGGCGGAGGTCGCAGGTTCGCTCGCTCGCTGGGTCGATCTGTGGCGGTCGACAGCAGGTCGGTCGCGAGAGCGGGCGCTGTGCAGGGGGGCGAGGCTATGTCGCGGTGGCAACCCGGATGGGCCGGCAGGGCCGGGAGTAACGGGACGTCGCCGCGGAGCTTCTCCCAGATACAGTGCGACCCGAGTGGAGGCCGCGGCGCCGCTTTCCGCCCCTGAGGAGGCCGCACCGCGCGGAGTCCGCCTTGCTTTCGCCCCGGTACCGACGCAAAGCGACCAGACCGGTCCGGCCCGATCTGCCAGGCCCATACAGGTGGGTGTCTGTCCTGTGCCCCGTGCCGTCCGGGGCCGCCGGAACCACAGCTCCCGGCGGGCCTGGCGCGGGCGCGCTGCCTCCTGGGACTTGTAGTTCCGCCACGGCTTGGCAGATGCCCCGCACCCGACGCGCTGCCTCCTGGGACTTGTAGTTCTGCCGCGGCCTGGCAGGTTCCCCCTCGCGCGACCGGGCGAACGATGCAGCTTGCTGGTTAGGCAGTAGCAACTCGCTCCGCTCCTTGTTATCGGAAGAGATCAGGCGTACTTGCAGAGCATAACGGTGGAGCCTATAGGTTTCCTCTCCTTGCCAAAAAGCAGACCCTAGAATAGGGGCAGAGCCCCAGGATGGAGGGGAGCCCAGCCCAGCCTGAAGACTACTACAGGAGTCATACCCCTTCGCAGGCTAAAGTGATCCTCGTATTCGTTGGGCACTCTTCCTCTGGATGGGAAAGGGAAGCCTTGAATACCGTATTCGTTTAGCCCCAGGGTGAGCAGGATGGGGTAGGTCCCCCAGCCTGGCCCCAGAAGCCTGTGTTATACAGGGGGGTGTGGCTGAGCTGGATCTTGGACTTGCTGCTTTGGTATGACAGGATCTCATCTCTCAGCCCGTCCTTAGTGTTTGGGAGCAGGTCAGAGGAGAGAGAAGGCCTGTGCAAACCCTGGGCAAAGGCTAGACCCAGTTGTGTACAGAGCTCTGGAGTAGGGGGACTGAAGGTAGAGCCCCATATGAGCAGATACCCATGACCTGGCTTCCCATATCCTTAGGCAGCACTAGCCCTTCTGGAGCAAGGAGTCTTTTCCCCAAGGACATGAAGCTGTTGGAGAACTCGAGCTTTGAGGCCATCAACTCACAACTGACAGTAGAGACTGGAGATGCCCACATCATTGGCAGGTGAGGCTGGAAGCTCAGGGGGGCCAGCATCTCAGAGGTCACTGCCCTGGCCCCTGAGTTGAAACTTGAAGCGACAGAATGCTCCATGTTCCTGCCTGCATCCCATAGGATTGAGAGCTACTCGTGTAAGATGGCAGGAGATGACAAACACATGTTCAAGCAGTTTTGCCAGGAGGGTCAGCCCCATGTGCTGGAGGCACTATCCCCACCCCAGACTTCGGGCCTCAGCCCCAGCAGGTGAGCTGAGATAGGTCCTGCCTCTTTGGGTCTGTGGGATGGCAGTCTAGGCTGATGTTTGTCTCTGTGCAGACTGAGCAAAAGCCAGGGTGGTGAAGATGAGGGTCCTCTCAGTGACAAGTGCAGTCGCAAGACCCTCTTCTATCTGATTGCCACACTCAATGAGTCCTTCAGGCCAGACTATGACTTCAGCACAGCCCGAAGCCACGAATTCAGCCGGGAGCCCAGCCTGAGCTGGGTGAGCACTGGGAGGGAGCCCCACCCACAGCCATTCCCACTGCCTTTCCACTGCCTTCCCCACATCAGCCTGGGCTCTGCCTTGTTTGGTCCTGGACCCTGCCCTGGACCCCTATCAGCCCCAGTGTGACCTGCCCTAGGTGGTGAATGCAGTCAACTGCAGCCTGTTCTCAGCTGTGCGGGAAGACTTCAAGGCCCTCAAGCCGCAGCTGTGGGACGCAGTGGATGAGGAGATCTGTCTAGCTGAATGTGACATCTACAGGTGGGCCTGTATCTTCACAGGTAGACCCCTAGGTATATGTGACACGGAGAGTCTCATACTATGTCTTGGCCTACTCTGCAGCTATAACCCAGACCTAGACTCGGACCCCTTTGGGGAGGATGGCAGCCTCTGGTCTTTCAATTATTTCTTCTACAACAAGCGGCTCAAGCGAATTGTCTTCTTCAGCTGCCGCTCCATCAGGTTGGTGCTGCCAGTCTCCCTTCCTCCACTTCCTATTGGGCCTCACCATCTCCTCAGGTTGCCCATCTGTTCTCAACTTTGTGCTGCCTGGACATCCTCCCTGGGGCCATCAGCAGGCCTGGGGCAGATGGTCCTAAGATTGTTTCCCCACTTCCCACCCAGTGGTTCCACTTACACACCCTCAGAAGCAGGCAATGAGCTGGACATGGAACTGGGGGAGGAAGAAGTGGAGGAAGAGAGTGGAGGCGGAGGCAGTGAGGGCAGGGCTGACGAGACCAGCACCATGGAGGAGGACAGGTATGTGATGGTGGTGGTGGTCCCAGTCCTTGGAGCCTCTAGTGCCTGGGCCAGGTCAGGGTCTCTTCTGCCTTGTCTCCTGAGTGGTGGCTCCTCAAACTCATTGTGTGTCAACCTTTGCCCAGGGTCCCAGTGATCTGTATGTGATGAGGAGAAGCAGAGGCCCAGCTTCATCCAGCTTCAACCAGTGCCTGGACCTACCCACCTGAGGGGCCCAGGGCCTCCCCAGCTGCTGGCCATACCCTGGCACTATCACTGTCCTGGCGCTGCCCAAGGCCGAATCTGCCTAGCCCTTTGGCTCCAGCCTGTGGATGTGCATTCATCCTCGAAGGCTCCTACTGCCCATGCTGTGACTGGACTAGACAGCACGGGGCCTGCTGGAAAGAGTGACTGCCCTGCCCAAGCAGACTGCCACAGCAGGGACAGCTGGACCACAGAGTTTATTTTTGTATTTCATACTGGGTCTGTACACTCCTGGCCTGAGACCCAGCAAGCAGGCTCCTGTCTTGAGCCAGTGGCCCCTGGTGCCTACCTGTTCCCCCCACCTCTCGAGGTGGGCTGTGTGCACTGAGTGTCACCTTGCTGCAGCTCATTTGTTTCCAATAAAAGTTTCTGTGACTCTGGACCTCAGTGCGTCGTCTGGGCGGGGCCTGCATTGTGGGCGGGGCCTGCCATTCATATCCTAGCAACCGATGCTGCCCCACCCGCCAGGAAAACGGTTAGTTTCCCAGAGCTGTTGGTCATCTGGACTCACAGCTGTGAAAATGGAGGCTAACATGTTGGACACAAGCAAGCCCTTATCATCAGAAGGCGATAACTTGCTTCTGGACTCAGACCTGTATGATGCAGACGGCTTTGACAACCCAGACCCTGGGCTGCTGTCAGAAAAGAATGGTGAGGGGGATTGGCCTTACCCCCTAGGCACCCGGCCAGAAACAGAACTCATTTGGACTAGGTTCTGGGAACACAACTCCTCTGGGCAGTAACTGATTCAACCGGGCACTTGGAGAAGGGCACTCCAGGGTGGGGCCCAAGGCCACAGGTAACAGCACTCCCTCCATTGGCCCGCAGAGCTGTGTTCCCTGGAGCAGTCGCAGGGCCTGCAGCTTTTCACCAGCACCCAGCGGTGGCAAAACGTGCCCCTGTGTACCCGCGCCCACCAGCTGTGGCTGCTCATTCGTACTGGCCTCCATAATGTTGTGGAAAAGGTGTGATTTGGCCCAGCATCTGCCACTGGTCTCTTCCCAGTCCAGCCCTTCCCCTGGGGGTCCTCTGCACCAGCTCCATTGGATCCCTCGAGTTTCCCTCTGCAGAAGAGCCCAGCCCCCACCCCTAACTGCAGATCCTGCCCATCCTGGCCCGCAGGAAAAGAGAGCTGAGCTGCGCGTTGCTCGCTTGACACATGGGCTGGAGCCACTGCGCCGCCTGGAGGTGCCAGCTGGGCTGCGATCCGTGGCACAAGACCCAGTGGGAGGACATTTTGTGGTGCTGGATGGGGCAGGTTGCCTGCACCTGCATAAAAAGGATGGCTGGGCTCAGGAGACGCTGCTGGCCCCTGTGGCACTTACTGGTCTGGTAGCTGTGCTGGGCCCTCTGGGAGCGGTGGGTCGCTTTGTAGGCTGGGGCCCCACAGGGCTGGCCATACTAAGGCCAGACCTCAGCCTGCTGTGGTTGAGCCCGCCCGAGGTGGGTAGGGTGCTAGGCCGTGAGCCCACTTGCTGCCTGCCGGTGCCCAGCCTGGGGCTGCTGCTTGTGGCTGAGGTGGGCGGCAGCCTGGCTCTCTTCAAGTTCCGCTCAGGTGGTCGCCGCCTGGTGCTGCGTGGCTTACCCCTGCAGCCACCACCAGGCCTGGCGGGCACACTCGAGCGTCTGGCTCTGGGGCCAGGGTCTACCCAGCAAGACACACACTGCTTCGCAGCCTACGGCTCAGCTGTGCTCACCTTGGATCTACAAGCCTGGAATCTCACAGATGTGCGCCAAAATCTGCACGAAACGTGAGGGGGGCTGGGGACTGGAAGACAAGGTGGCCCCTAGAGAGAGCTGGTCATGGCAGGGGTGCAGACTGCAACACACCAGGCAGTGCTGAGTCCACGGGGCCTCCCCATTCTCTCTAATCCCCAGCACCATCTCTGACCTGGCCTACTTCGAGGAGGCAAAGGCCATGGTAACGTCTTCCCAAGACAGTACGGTGAAGGTGTGGGAGGTTAACTGGCAGATCCGCCTGGTGTTCGCGGGTCACACAGGTGCGCTGCTCCCAAGATGCTCTTGTAGTGTATTCTCTCTGCACCCGGAGCTCGGCCCTCTGCCTTTGAGCTCTGAGCTGTTGGAGATTTCTGCTGGGTCTGACCAAGATTCTCTGCGTTGGCTGCATCCCGGGCCAACAGCTCCCTTCCCTCATTCCCTGGTGTGCCTGCCTGAGATCTGCGCGCTCCCGCAGGCCCGGTGACAGCAATGGTCATTCTCCCGAACACCACCCGAGTGTCTTCCGCCTCTCAGGATGGAACGTTGCGCACGTGGGACCTGCAGGCGGAGGCGCAGGTGGGAGAGGTGGCGCTGTGCTCCTGGGGCCAGGACGTGCTGTCCGCGCGCGTGAGCCGTTTGCTGGCACCTGCGGCCCGGGGCTGGCCGGTGCTCTCTCTCTGCGCGAGCAGCGTGGAGCTTTGGCGCCTGAGCGAGCTCTACTCGCCGTTGGCGCAGCTGCCCGCGCCCGTGCTCTACCTCCAGGTGGCGCCTGCGCTACCAGCGCCCGTGAACCCATCTCTGCCCGCGCGCCTCGTATGCGCTTGTGTGGATGGCTCCGTCTACCTGGTGTCAGCTGCAACAGGGAGAACAGTGAGCGCACTGCTGCTCGAGGCCGAGGACTGCGCGGTTGCGGTGGCCTACTGCCTTCCGCGCGAGGCCCTGTGGCTGCTGACGCGCACAGGACACCTGGTGCGCGCCAACGCAGCATGCTGCCCCATGAGCGTGCTGCATCGTGTGTGCCCGCCACCGCCCCCGGCGCCACAGCCCTGTTGCTTGCACTTGTACAGCCACCTCACAGACCCCGGTAGCGCGTTAGCCTGCTGGGAGATCGTGCGCCAGAACAAGGGCGATCTGCGCCGCAGCGCCATGGCCTGGGCTTGGAAGAACAAGAACCGGTGGGCGCCGGAGCCAGCGAGATCCAGACGGGAGGGGAGCGGTGACTGAGCTCCTACCAACAGGCTCCGTCACCACCCGCAGGTACCTGCCAGTGATAGGGCATACAGATGGCGCACTCTCGGTGCTTGATTGGCTCTCCTCGAAAACTGTGTTCCATACAGAGGCGCACAGCCCAGGCCCTGTTACCGCCATTGCGTCCACCTGGAACAGCATCGTTTCTTCGGGTTAGTACCTCCACTTCCTGAAGCCGGCTCGGGAGCCCCTGCCTTTCCGGGCAGCTCAGCCTTGCTCCCGCTGTCCCACAGGTGGAGATCTGACCGTGAAGATGTGGCGTGTCTTCCCCTATGCAGAGGAGAGCCTGAGCCTGCTGCGCACCTTCTCCTGCTGCCACCCAGTTGTGGTGCTTTGTGCTCTGGGTAAACGCATCACTGTAGGCTTTGAGGACCCAAATAGTGCCACCTATGGCCTGGTGCAGTTTGGCTTGGGTGAGGGCCGGCGCTGTGACCACCGGCCCCAGGATGATCCCATGGACCACATCACTGGTGAGGGGACAGAACAAAAAGGCAAAGCCTGGGCCTCCATGTTAGTCTGGTCCTGACCTAACCTTGTCTCCAGGCTTGTGCTGCTGCCCCACACTCAAGCTGTATGCCTGCTCCAGCCTGGACTGCACCATCCGCATCTGGACCTCTGAGAACCGCCTTCTGCGGTGGGCTGGGGCCCTGGGGAGGGGATTGGGGCCTGGGGTATAGCCACTGGGCTCTCCAAACCTCTGCCTCCCACCACAGCCCAATGGCTAGGGAGTGGAATGACACAGGGCCTTGCCCCTGATACTGCCTCAGTTTCCCTCTCTGAAGCAGGAGTGGTCCTCTGGGTACCCCTGCAGGCTCCTGCAGCTGGACGGTTCCCCTCAGGCCCTGGCCTTCTCCAGCAACAGTGGAGACCTGGTGCTGGCACTGGGTTCCCGTCTCTGCCTAGTCTCCCACAGGCTCTATCTGCCCACAGCCTACCTAGTTAAGGTATGCAGTGAGGTCAGGATGGGCAAAGTGGGGCTGCTGCGTGAGGACAGGCCCTGAGGATCAGGGATCCAAGCTTCTCTTGCTTGCCCAGAACCTGTGCCAGAAGGCTCCTGACGTGGTGGATGACCCTCCATTGCCACTGACCAGCCACGAGTCACTGACCTCCATCCAGATACAAAGGCTCACCAACCTGCATGGGGCATTCAGTCTCAAGTCTTCTGGCAGGTCTCAGCTGTCCTTGAGACTCCCATTTAGCCCCTGGGGTCAGGGCCTGACTGTGTGCCCCCTGCATGAGGACTCAGGACTCCTGGACTGCTCAGAGGCTGCCACATCCATCCCAGCCCTGCCATTCCCTCTCCTGGCTGGTCCTTGTCCTGCTTTCTGCCCTGTCCTACTGGACTGTATCTCACCTGTGCTTTTCCCTTTCTGCAGCCCGGCCCTGCTCTCCACCCGTCGCCAGACAGCAACACCTCAGCAGCTAGTGATGAAGGAGGTGGGTGGATACTGACCTTCTTGCCACCCCACTGCCTAGCCCTGTCCCTGCTCAGGCTCAGGCCATTGCCCCTTGGTCCCTACGGCTGGCTTGGACACCTGTGGTTATGTGGGCAGCACATGGCTTCCAAGGAAGCAAACCTGACCTCTGACCCCCACCTCTCAGGACTTGGAGGCCATAATGGCCCGTGACCAAGACCTTCAGGAGTTGAGGCTGGGACAGGTCATCCCAGCAGCCCGGCCCCCACCCTCCTGGAAGCAGCGCCAGGAAGCCTTTGACAATTACCTACGTTTGATCTATGGCCCTGGACTATTGGTGGGTGTGAGGCCATCCTCCAGCCTCTGCCCTGACCCTGGCAAATCCTCTCACCCCAGACCTGACACTGCCACTGTTCCCACCTGTCTCAGGACATGCAGTTCAAAAGGGAGCCCCAGCAGGGGAGCATCATGACCCTCACCACAGAAAGAGAGCTCCAAGACAAGACATGTGTACCCCGTCCAGAACTGCCTCCTGCTTTGGGCAGGCTACCATCAGCAGTGAGGCCCAGACAGTACCCAAAGCCCTTCTCCACCCCCAGACCCCAGGGGCCCCAGGCCAGCGTTTTGTTTTGCCCACCCCGCCCCCAAGTGATCTTGCCCATTCCACCCACCACCAGAAGGTCCACAGCAAAGTGTCCAAGGTGAAGCCTGCCTCCCCTCCCACCCCCTTCCTGACATCATGGCTGAATCCCCCTGACTCCTTGGCTGCCTCAGCTTCTTGCCTGCTCTTCCCTGAGCTGTGACTTGGGCCTCAGTCTGGATCTGCAGATGCAGCTGGAGCAGCTCAGAGAGGAGATGACCATGGCCTTGGACCCACCGTCCTCCCTCCCACAGCACAGGTGAGGTAAACTTAGCAGCTGGGATGCCACCTACTCAAGAGCAGCACTTGAGGGGCTCTAGGGGCTGTGCTCAACTCTTGAGTCTCTGTCCCATCTCCAGGTCCCACTTTGGCTGCAGAAACAGCCCAAGGATCCTCTCTCAAATCTCAAGGGCTTCTTTCCTGCCACTGTGCAGTCCCACAAGGTGAGGCTTTCTGGGTTCCCAGAGAGGCACCCCCCCTAGGGTTACTCTTCTTGTGTACCCTATCTCCCCTTTGCTGCAAACCTCTTGTGTCCAAATTGGATCTAAGGGCCATGGCCACCTGTAGCTCAGAGGCCAGCTCCAGAGTCCCCCGCCCTGCCCGCCCCCGCCTCCTTTCCTGGAGTTGTGGTGTGGTGGTGTCTGTGGGCAGGAGCACCTTGTTGCCTACGAGGCCTGAGTCTGAGCCAGAGATCCCCTGCCATTGAATCTCCTGCACACCCCTCTCCTCAGTGGGAGCACTCTGTAGGTGGGTCGCCAGTGGGCTTCTCCTGCAAGACCAGAGTCCCCACCTTTCAGGGGAGCAAAGTCAAGGGGAGCTAGCCCTTCAAGATCCCATACTTGGGCTGGGGCTGTGGCTCAGTGGCAGAGTGCTTGCCTAGCATGGGTGAGGCACTGGGTTCGATCCTCAGCGCCACATAAAAAACAAAATGAAAAATAAAGGTTAAATTCTTTTTTTTTCCTCAAAAATTTGTTTTGTATTTTTGTCAATGGGCCTTAATTCTATTTATTTATATGCAATGCTGAGATTTGAACCCAGGGCCTCACACATGCCAGCCAAATGCTCTACTACTGAGCCACAACCCCAACCCCAAAGTTAAATTATTATTTTTTCTTTTTTACTTATATGTGGTGCTGAGGACCGAACTCAGTACCTCACATGTGCAAGGCAAGTGCTCTGCCACTGAGCTACAGCCCCAGCTCCTCAAGGTTAAATTCTTAAAAAAATAAAATAAAATCCCACCCTTGCTCCCAGTGGGTGCCCAGGCAGGCCCAGGCCCTTGCTTAGCGCATGCTGGCTCCTATCTAGGCATGCCATTTTGTCCTTCCAGCTTTGTAGCATATTGACTCAAGTTCTCCACTGAACTCTCTCTAGTTACTTCCTTTCTGTCCTGCCCCCGACCCCCAGGCTTCCCTGTTTCAGGGTTTGAGACCAAGTGCCAAGAAGAACATGTGGGGGTTGGGGCTTTCCAAAGGCCTTCTGTCCCCCAGATTTCCCTCATCTTCCAGTTAATGTCCATGGACCACTCCTCCTTCGGCACCCCAGACTTTCCCCTCACCTGTATGTTAAGAGCATGGGCTGCCTGTCCAGTCTGATGGAGGCCTGGCAGGCAGAACTGGGCCCAGGTCTTGGGACTCTACATGATCATGGGTGTGACCCAGGGTGGTATCCCAGTTGGGGTGGCTTCAGGTTCTCAGCCACCCTGCTGTGCTCTGCCTCCAGTACTGCCCACGACCCATCAGCTTCCCCGGCTGTGTGCCCAACTCCGTGGCACTTCAGCAGATGTGGCCGTCCACAGAGATCAGCTGTCTCAGACCCCTGACCACGCTCGCCTCCTATACTGAGAACAGACTCAAGGCAAGAGGCAGAGCTGGGGGGCTCAGGGAGGGCTCCACTGTCCCCACCGTCTGCCAGATGCCCCCTCTTGTGCCCTCTCCTCTATAGCCAGATGCAAGCCTGGATGACCTATGGCTACAGCGCCACAGGTGGTCCAAGTGGCACAGTAGGCTGATGCAGTGGCTTCATGGGAAGTCTGAGAAGGAAGAGGAAGAAGAGGAGGAGGAGGAGAAGGAACTGAAAATAGACTGGATCTCAGCTTCTCTGAGTTCACCCAGGATGTATTCTGACCAACAGTTAGATTACTGGGAGGCAGAGGCTGGGGTATGCATCCCAGGCTGCCACAGGCAGGGTGGGCTCCGTGCCCAAAACCCAGAGAAGTGGGACTGAAGTTGCTGTCACTTCCCCTAGAGCGCCATGGACTTGATTGGCGAGTCCCAGAGCTTCCATGAGGCCCCCAGGACCAAAATCTACTTTGGCTCCCAGTACCACCAGGGGCATTCACTCTGGGAAGAGCGCTATGGGCATCTGCCCAGGTTCCTGCACTCTTTCGTCATCCAGAACTGGTTCAAAAAGCTGTTCCCCATCTTCACCCTGGAGGTGTGGGGGGGCCTGGGAAGCTGGGAAACGTAGTCTGGGATGGGGTGTGGGGAGAAAGCAGGAGCCTGCCTGAATGTGAAATAGGGAGCAGGGTCTCAGCATACCGTTCTGTAGGCCTACCCTGAGATGGGCACAGTGGAGGGCCTGGCCTCCATGTTGGTGGACCTGCTGGCAGAGGCCATCTGGGAAGACCGTGTGCATATCCTAAATGCACTGCTGAGACTGCTGCCTGATGTGAGCAGTGACCTCCACAGTCGGCTGCAGAGCAACCTCTTGCACTTGCTCAACTTGGACAACCCCCCCAGCCTCCAGGTGAGTTCCTTGACACCCTCCACCCCCACCGTGTTTCTCCCACCAACCATTGTCCCCACCTGTGCACAGGACCACATTCAGAAGCAGTTTGTGATGCTGGCACTGCAGCTGCTGCTGGCCTGCTCCCTGGATTCCCGTGATGTGGTGCTAGAGCTCATGTCCTACTTCCTCTACTCTCCAGCTTCCGACCGGTAACTGACACTCCTGACCCATCCTCCCTACCAGCTGGGGAGGCTGGAATAAGCCACATGCATTTGTCCTAGGCCAGAGCTCAAGAAGCTGCTGAATGGTCTGGGCCTTCGGGACCCAGAGGGCTTCCTGTTCAAGGAGATGATGACCTGGGTCCAGGGCTCCAAGCTTAATTCCAAGGCCAAGCTGCGCTTATACTGCTGCCAGAAGCTGGAGGGCATGATCCAGCAGCTGAAGGTCTGGTGCACATGGCCTAGCTGGGCTTCTCCAGAGGCAGCCCTGGGGTCCCCTGGGCTACAGGGATGCCTGCTTTGGCGTCCTGCTCAGGGGTGGGGCACCCGGTCCCTGGGGCTGGGAATCAGGCAAAAGGGAATTTCAGTAGCCAAGGAGCAAGGATGCTTCTTAGACTGGCCACTTCCTCTACAGATGGAAACTTTACAGCCATCTACAGCTCAGTTGTCAATGGTGCTGCCCAAAGGCTCTGATACCTGGCCGCCTTCCTTTCCTCCCAGGGAGGACCAGTCACAGGCTTCAGCAGTCTCAGGGGCTCCTTCGAGCATCTTCTGGCCGCAAGCCTCTCAGGCGCTCCTCCATGTCCTGGAGCCTCCCTTGCTTGTGGTGTCCCCCACAGAATCTAAAGCTGGATCCCCAGAGCCCCAGGCTCACTTTTACACTGGGCAGACCAGGCGGTCGCTCTCAGAGACGCTGAAGAGCTTCTGCTCGGTGCCTGAGCCCTCCATGCCCACTGCACCACATGGCCTGCCACAGCCGCTGGAAAACACCGACTGGTCGAAATGGCAGATGCTGGACCTGGGCTACGTCGATGCACTCAACCACTTCTGCGAGCAGCATCAAGTACAGCAGCAGAGTTTGATCCAGAAGGAAACCGAACAGCCACCCTGCTCTGCATCCCTGCGCCCTCCTGTGCCTAACACTGTGGTGGCGCCACCCAGGGATCAAGGGTGAGTGCAGCGAGGGGGGCCCCCTGGCCGGCATGGGCAGCTGAGCATTGTCTGTCTGACCTGACTCCTTCTCCCAGGCACTACCCCATACTTAGACTGCAGGAAGCCAAGGCTCGGAGCTCTGGGATGAGAATGAAGGGTGAGTGGGCTCAAGGGTGGAGACTGGTCCCTGGTCCCACACCCTTTCCTCATCCCAGCCTTGGCTGGTGGTCTCATTGGCCTGCCTGCCTGCCCCCAGGCCGTGTGATGTCACATCTCAGCACCCACTGTGCCCGTTCACTGGACCGTTCCATCCGGGTGCTAAAGCTGCCCCTGCCGAGAGTGGAGCTGCAGCCCTTCCCCCCAGGCTGGCCCGCACCCCCTCGTGCCCTGCCCCCGTTGCTCCTGCAGCCCACCCTGCAGCGCTACTTTCTGCCCGAAGATGCGGATCCTGACAGCTACAGCTGACCTGGCAGGCACGGTGGGTCCTGTGTCTCAATCCCGCCAAGTTGAATTGCAACAACACTTGTGTCTTCTATGTTCCCTGGCATAGGCCTGCATCTAGAATAAAGTCCAGAGGCTTTGGCAAGACGACAGATGCCACCTCTGTCTCTCCAGGGCTTGGGGGTGGGCAGGAAGGCATGGCAGTAGTCTGAATTCGCTGGTGATGGGTGGCATGTGACGTCAAGTATTGGGGGTCTCTGGGATGGGACAACATCTGGGGTATGGTCATGGGGTGGAGCAGCACTCCTGGTGGGATGAGCCTGTCAACCTGGAAAGGAGGTCCATAGTGCTGGTCAAATACTGGATGTTAAGATGGGTGATTGACATTAGAGACGATTCCCTGGGTCATATCCCTGACCAGATATGAAGGGGACTTTCCAAGTGGGTACATCTGTGTGTGGGGAGGAGTCTGCATGTTTGAACAGCAGTCTGCGGGGACCTGGTTTTCCTCACTTGTATTCTGGGAGAATACATCTGGGCTTTTACCTGGGAAGTAACAAGGCAGCAGCACCCTTTGGATCCTTCCACATAGAAGTCCTAGGAAATGGACATTGACCTATGGGGCACAGGATCTCAGAGTCACCCACATCCTTCAAAGCTAGCTTGGCAGGTCACTGACAGGACCACTGAGGGTCTCCACACACATTAGCTGTTTGCACTGTTTTGTTTTTTAATATTTTAATTGTAGTTGGATACAATACCTTTATTTTATTTACTTATTTTTATGTGGTGCTGGGATTGAACCCAGGGCCTCGCACATGCTAGGCTGCCGCGGACTGGCTGGGCACAAAATAACCGAGCCGCCACACGGCCTTGTAGGTTCAAACAGCAACCTTTATTTCCGAACTCTCACCGGCCCTCTACACACACTTCCTGGAACTGCCTCCACGGGCTCCCCACGCCAATTCTCTCAGAACCCCGTGAGAACTCAATGGGAACTCCAAAGTAGCGGGCTCCCTCCCGAAGCAGCAGGATCTGCCCTAATCCTGGAGCAGGGTCACCTTTCAACCATTCCCTCTGGCAAAAATGCCAGGCGTAATTCTGACTAAACTGTGGCTCTCAACACTAGGCGAGCACTCTACGGCTGAGCCACAACCCCAGCCCTGTTTGCACTGTTTGAGAAGTTCCCTTAGCTTTTTACATCCTTCCATAGTGATTTCCTTTCCTGTAAATTCTCAGCTTCCAACCTTAGACCTGTCTTCTTAATGGCTTTACGGTTAGAACTGGTCTTCCATCCCTTACCCATAACCCCCAAGCCTGCAAGCCTGCAGGGCTTTTGCTATGAGACTGTGAAGTAGCACCTCTTCCCTAGGTCAGGCAGGCTGAGAGGTTCCAGGAATGAAGAATCGGAAGATTTTTTTTTTTTTAACAAAGAGTAAATATTTTAATTTTTTAAGTATTCTCAATTTCATAATATTTTAAATAATCACACTAACCAGATACATTCCCCTTGTACCATATCAGTATTAACTTTAAGTATTCACATCCATAATTAACATAATTAGGAAATTTAGCAAAGATGGTAAACATCTACATGAATGTTCTCATACTTGTGGCAATTTAGTCTCTAAAATAAGTTAGGCTGGATTTACATAAAAGCTGAATTTGGTGCCTCTTTCAAATTTATCCTTGAAAAAACAAATAGTCCTGGTGAGCAGCAGGTTATACAGGGTGCCAGGCAAATCCTACCAGAAACTGGGAGCTGCTATTCCATACTACAAAATGCAGGAGAAGCAGCAGAGTGAACATGTTGGGGGCTGCTATTCTGACTGTCCAGGCACCAGAATCACCCTGAGCCAGTGCCACCCATCCCAGCTCTGGACACAGCAGTACTCTGGTGCTCACTAGGAAGCCAGCACCTGGAAGACTGCTTTTTTCATAAAAGAGTTGTGCACACTAAAACAAGAACTCCCAAGGCTATGGTGGACTCCCTCTACTAGAGTTTCACATTTTAAATGATAAAAACAAGAAATGCTTTTTAAATACAAGTGTGAGAAAGTAGGGAAAATTTAAACATCAAGAATCATAAGAATATATATAGTAGTACTGAATATAAATTTTATTTTTTTTATTTTTTATTTTTTAGTTGTAGATTGGCCCAATACCTTTATTTGACTTACTTTTACGTAGTGCTGAGGAGCCAATCGAGTGTCTCACATGTGCAAGCACTCTACCATTGAGCTACAACCTCAGCCCCCAAAATTGTTTTAAAACATTTAAATACACCATTAAGACATGACAGGCAGGCAGCATAGGGAGGAGATATCTACAATACTGACACTAAAAACAGTTCAGAACACATAAGAGACAAGGATCCTACAAATCAATGTGATATGAAATAGAAAACAGGAATTTCACAAAAGAAGTCAAGCAAGTTCAGATCGCAGAAACCTAACACTGTCGTCACTGCAGCCCCTTTAGGAGCATGGGTCTCCCCAAGCCTTCGGATGTGCTGCCGCTTCCTGTTGCCACTTACGTCCTATCTCGGTGCTGAACGCGTCACTGTGTCTACGCCTCCAACAAATGCCCTAAGGCTGCCTCCTTAGGCCTCATGCCACGGCCCCGGGTTCCCTGGTGGCCCTCCTGGTGGCCCTCCGCACCGGGCTCCAGGACCGCGGAGGCAGCCTGCAGGACTCGGCAGGCCTTCGTTCCAGGCGGACCCGGAGCCACACTCCCCTGACCAGACTCGGTCCCACCCCTGTGCAAGCCCTGACACCCTCGAGGTCCCAGGAGAACAGGCAGGTCCAGGTTTAGCTCGGCCTGAGCGGAACTTCAGGGCAAACCGCACGCCCTCGGCGCCGCGCGACCCACAATGCCCTGCGCCTACCTGGCCCCGCCCCCTGCCCCGCGGCCTCAGATTGGCCGCGCGACTTCCGCTTCCCTGGTGGGCGGTGCTGCGGCCCCGGCCGGGGGCTGAGTTCCCGGTCGCCATGCGGGAGGGCAGAGCCAGCCCAGGTGCGTCCAGCGGCAACGTGCGGGGAAGGTGGGAGGCCGGCCCCGAAGCCGAGGCGGCGAAGCTGCTGCCCTTCCTGGCGCCTGGCGCGCGGGCGGACGTGCAGGCCGCAGCAGTGCAGCACGTGCTGGCGCTGACCGGCGCGGAGTCGGGCCGCCAGCTGCTGGCTGGGCAGCAGGCGCTGCTGCAGGCGCTGAGTGAGCTGGCGGCGGCTCCGGCCCCTGCCCCAGCCCGCGACGCCGCCCGCGCGCTTGTGAACTTGGCTGCTGACCCCAGCCTGCACGAGCCGCTTCTGGCCGCCGACCCCGGGCTGCCGGCTCGTCTGTTGGGTCGTGCGTTGGACCCACAGTGGCCCTGGGCGGAAGAGGCGGCTGCCACGCTAGCCAACCTCAGTCGCGAGCCTGCGCCGTGTGCCGCGCTGATGGCGGCACTGGCAGCAGTCGAGCCAGGGCAGTCGAGCTTGGAGCGGTTGGTGTGTGCACTCTGCACGCGCGGCTACAACGCGCACGCGCCCCTACATTACCTGGGGCCGTTGCTCTCCAACCTTAGCCAGCGGCCTGCCGCACGTGCCTTCCTGCTGGACCCTGACAGGTGAAGCCTAGACTTCGCGCGGGTGGGGAGCGGGTGGAAGTGAGCAGGGATGGCAACTACAGGCCTCTTCCAATAGGTGCGTGGTCCAGCGGCTGCTGCCCCTTATCCAGCGTTCAGACTCCTCAGTGCGCAGGGGAGGGGTGGTAGGGACTCTGCGGAATTGCTGCTTTGAGCACCGTGAGTTGAAGGGCGGGGGGAGGTTTGGGTGTTTCTGGGGTGGGCACTGGACTCTGGGTCCTCTACGAACCGACCTTATTATTATTATTATTAGTTGTAAATTGACACAGTATTTTTTCATGTATTTATTTTTTTGTGGTGGTGAGGATCAAAACCAGTGCCTCACACCTGTGAGGCAAGCGCTCTACTACTGAGCTACAGTCCCAGGCCCCCCGACCTTATTCTTGTCCCCACCCCCAGGACACCATGAGTGGTTGCTTGGGCCTGAAGTGGACATTCTTCCCTTCTTGCTACTGCCTCTGGCTGGGCCTGAGGATTTCTCGGAGGAAGAGATGAACCGTGAGTGGCTTGGATTGATGGTGCCTAAGGGTTGGCCAGGCAGGAAGGAAGTCAACCCCAGGAGAGGGACGAGAAAGTGCCCAGACCCCTTCTGAAACTTTCCAGGAAAGAGTTGCTGAGCACAGATGAGGCTCACCCAGGTAGAGCCAGGTCTAACTGCCCAGTCAAGGCACCCAGTGCCTCCCACACTCACCCCCAGGGTTGCCTGTTGACCTGCAGTACCTGCCACCAGAGAAGCAGCGTGAACCTGATGCTGACATCCGCAAGATGCTCATTGAAGCCATCATGCTGGTGAGCAGGGGTGTGCTATGTTAATGCCACCGTTCTACACACACATAGGAGCACACTGACATATGAGTAACCTCTTCAATATCCCCAGCTGACAGCCACTGCACCTGGGCGGCAGCAGGTGCGGGACCAGGGAACCTACCTGATCCTTCGAGAGCTGCATAGCTGGGAACCAGAGCCTGATGTGCGGTTGGCTTGTGAAAAGCTCATCCAGGTGGGTGCAAGGTTGGAAAGGCTGAGGAATGGGAGCCCACAGCTGTCCAGCTGTTCTACTCACCTGCCTCTTCTCCTGGCAGGTGCTAATTGGAGATGAGCCAGAATGTGGCATGGAAAACCTGCTGGAGGTGCAGGTGCCTGAGGATGTGGAACGACAGCTGCAGCAGCTGGACCGGGAGCAGCAGCAGCTGGCCCAAGAGTCAAGGGTGGAAGGGACTGCACCTACCTGAGGTCCCTTCAGCATGGCAGTCCAGAGCCACCTTTGCCAGACCTGCTAGACCAGACCTGCCTCCAGACCTTCAAATCCCCTGTGCCCGCTGAGAAGGAGAGCTATACTTAGGCTAGAGTGAATGCTCAGTAAATGTTGGAGGGTTGAGGACACTTCCCAACCCTATGTCTCCTGTTGATACCAATAAGAATAAAGGTTGAGCCAAAGCCCACCAGGCCCTGTGCCACAGCTGCCTTCACATGAGGCAGATAGGTGGGCCAGTGGAGCCATGAGGAACCTGTTCTCAGGCAAA